TGTCAACAAATGCACAAAGGAGTTGCAAAAGCTGCAATCTTCAAAAGGTTGGAACAAAGGTTATGTTGAAAAGAAACAAAGCTGAAAATATAGAAAAAAGATTCCTAGTGACATCCTTAATGATAGTATTTTTCATATTGAAGTTCCGCAACTAATCAACAGCCAATTTAACATTCCCAAAAAAATTAAACACAAAAGACACATCTTACGGCTCCAGGTACCGCAGGAGATGGTCCAACCATCCTGTGGCTCCAGGTTCCCACACAGAGTTGGCTAAATCAACCAGATCACAAACATTGTGTTGCTCATAAGTGGAAATGCATACCTCGGAGCAATGAGGCATCATCTCATCCAAGCCGCCGATTTGATCAGGTCAGCCCCATCTAGGCCACCAGCTATCTGAATCAAAGCAAAGGCGGGTGAATGGGGGGGAATTGTAGGATGGTCAGGCCCTTGCGTGCGGCTAAAGGAGACGAAGCTTTGTCCCTTCTCGTGAGGAACAAAGAGACGAGGCTTTAGCACTTCTCGTTCGAATGAGGGAGACGGGGCGGTGGCCCTTCACGTGTGGATCTTCCTGCGCGAAGTTGAACAATGGCGATGGAGCTGAATCCTCATGCCAAGCAACGAAGTCAAACTGCTGTGAAACAACAGGAGTTACTTAAGAATTAAAGAAAGAAAATTAACAAAATAATCCCAAAATAAAGTTATTACTTATAACAAGGATTGATCCTCGGAATTCCTAGTCTTTAACTTGCTTAGGCAAAGAAGATCGAAGTCGATTAACCAAGCAATTCAAGAAAACGCAAAGAGTAATTGTAAAACTACGACGATCAACAAGAATCCACGATTTAATAATGAAAACTTTCACCTTTGGAGCTCATACGCTCAAATAGTCTAGGCTTTAGCGGAAGAAGAGTCTCCACATTAGAATCGAGGTCACTCCGAGGAAGAAGGAACCTAGGATCGTCGTTCTTGGATAGGTGAACGGAGTGGTGGAGGATGATTGTCGTCCAATGATGATCCAACATCCTTTTGACCTTTGCTCGTCGATCACGTCAACTAAGGTATAATGGATACAGTCGATATATTCTTCAATGGTGTCGTCGAAATCAAAGCCCACGTCAAAGAATGGCGATTGGATAATGTCGACTTGATCTCGATCGTCATGCACAAATCCAAAGTTCCATTCGGATTCCGCCATGCATCCTCGCCAAGGGCTGAAGGAGTACCCAAGATGGGAGAGGGGGTGGCCGGTTTGGAGAGGTGGAGGGGAGAGGGGGTGGGCCGTGGGCTAGATGAAAGAGAAGGTCACGGTTTGGGTGGGAGAGAGGGGAGAGGGTGAGGTTAGGCCTGTCAAAACCGGGTCACGGGTCGGGTTCGGGTTCAACCCGAAACTGACCCGGGTTCATACGGGTCAACCCCCCCCCTCATGTTGAAATCCGTTTTTGCTCGATTTGAGCAGGTTTACCCGCAAAATGAACTAAAGCAGGGAATTATAAATACATTAGGAATTTAGTTTGCTTTATTCAAGTGTCCATACAAACACCAAAAAGTGAAAAAGCAAAGTATTCACTATACAATAACCCCTAAGTAGATGTTAAAAATGATTTATTTTAGTACTGCAAATGTCGATGGAAAATGCTAAAAAAAGAAAGCCAAGCCTCTTACGCCATAGTTTTGCTGGTATCATTAACAAAAGCCTTCAAAAAAGCCTAGAGAGATACAATGCAACAAAGAATTGGCTAGATAGGAATTACTATTAGAATATACACAAAAAAGCTGCAAAAACTACCATCTTGAAAATTAGGAACAAAGGATATGCTGAAAAGAAACAAAGTCGAAAATATAGAAACTATGAGTCCTATTGATAGGGTAGCATCCTATGAATGTAAATAAAAACTCCTCCTTATTTGACTACTATCCAAAATACAAAATGTATAATTCAAAATTTAAAATTTGCAAAAGATGAAAATATCAATTGTCATAATAAAAATATATTGTATTTCGAGGGTTATAAACTTTAAGATTCACATCACTTATGAACTACAACCTATGAAATCTATCTATGAAAAAAATAAAGCTTGGAAGAAATTAAGTGGAGGCCGAAAAGGATTGTTTTTAATGGGTGCTGCTTATAAGCAACAGACTGATAAATTCTAGAGGTAAATGGTTCACCATCTAATGCATTGAGGTGCATCTATTGTTTAAGTGCACACCAAGCGAATAGTAACCAATCTAGGAAAGCTACAAAATTGGATTCATAAATTCTTTTAAACTTGTTAACATAGGTATTCATATTTCTAAATTTATACATGCATCATAATCATAACCTTATGATAAGTTCAGATATTTCTTTGTTAACTTTAATCATTGCTTTTATGAGATAGTATAAAAAATGATAATGATACAATATTCATTTTGAATGTTGCAAATGACCATAAAGGTCTAGCTACTAATATTGGTCATGCCCTAGTAATTTTACTTAAAGCACTTCAAAAGCCATCAAAAGGACAAATCATACTAGCTCGCACATCACATTATCTTTTGATGTCACTAAAGAAAATATGTTTCAGATACATTTCTATCAATAATAATTCAACAGATAAAAGCAACATTTGTCCAAGTGTTCAAGTGTAGAACATGGATACAACCCTTGAAGTTAGTTTTCAAGCGATGGACTAAATGCTATTAATGGCATATTTCAAATTAGATGCTCAAGGTAAATTTAGGGTATGTTAAGAATAGTTGCATTTACTATAAAATTAGTTGTGAAATTATTGTGGAAAAAATAAATTTTTTGAAAGTTATGGTTGTATTACAAATTAAAAAAAAAAAAAAAATTTACAACCATCATGCTTTAGCAAATTTGATATTGAAAATCTCTTTCTCATGATAAATATTTTTAAAAGCAACAAGAAAGTTGTCTCCAAACAGATATTTTTCAACAATTTATAAAGTAAAGCTATGAAAAAAAACTATCCTAAATACATTTTTAGTGATCTTAATGTTCGATAAATTAGTGAACAGCTTGTAGTTTTCAATGATACATTTATGGAGAACCCTCATTACTCATCAAACATCCTAGACAAGTGCAATTCAAAAAATAATAAGCCTTCAATGTGACCAAGAAGTACTCTATAACATATAGCATATTATTTGGGACATTTGTTATCTGTTTGAATAAGATTATGATAGAATAGTTTTATGAATCTAACAATATTCATGATACATGGCTTAGTAATATCGAATACCTAGAATATGATACACAAGAAATGCATGTCATAACCGAGCTTTGAAAGCACTTGTATTGGCAGTATTGCTGACAATTCTTTAATACCTTCAATCTTGATATATCTTGTAGAATAGTTCTAATAATGCCACTACTGATAATGAATCTCTGGCATATCCTATAGAATAGTTCGAATAAGGTCACTAATGATGATGATGATGATAAATATTAATATGTCCTTCGATCAACTTCAAGCACTTTCAAGGGTATCAATATTGTTTATGCCACTGTTAATGGTAGCAATATGGGGCATCATCCACCCTTATAGAAAATATAGCTAGGATAGCCATCAACATCATCTCCAATGACTATGTATGGTGCCCACCTATCATACAGCTCTTGGCTCCCCAATTTTATCTTTTCGATGGCCTAAGATTGAACAAGACCTGACCATATAATTTGGCTCAATGCATTCTCAATCTCCAATCACCGTAAAAAATCATTGTCAGCATGTCAACATGCATGACAATGTAATGTGTTCACTATCAAGGCGCATTATGCGGATCTTTTAACAATTGGTCCATATTTCCCTCCACCTAAGGGTACCATTGGTCTTTGTCGCCACTTGAACAACTTCAGGGATTAGCATGACATGGTTATGCTCCATATGATCAAAAAACTCACATAAAAGCTAAAAGATTTCTCAAGTTTGAAATAATTAAACCAATAACAATAATTATTTGAAATCCAACCTGAGTTTTGGATAGCCTTTCTTACGGCTACTACACATTAGTAGATTTGATTGCAAAAAATAACTTTCCACCACAAAAATTTATGGGAGCAATGAGAAAGTAGTAAAAAAATTATAGTGAAACGGAATTGTGGATGCAATTTAAAAAACAAAGCCAAACAGCTACCCCAAATAGGACCTAAATAGGGTTTAGAGGTCAATGGTCTCAACTCTCATATTTTTCACTTTGATTTGCTACTTTAATTAAAATTTATGTAACCTTAAGTCATAATTTCTCTTCTAAAAGACAATTGTTCGAATGTAAGCATTAGAAGGGCCTTTTTGGGGATAACTTAGAAAAAAAGCACCTTGATTTTCTTTGATTCGCTGCAGAAGATTAATCAAATCAGACTGATTTGCTTGAAGGCATCTCCCAAACAAAGAAAATTTTGTGACATAATAATACAAATGCTAAAAGCTAAAATATAAAAACTACGATTTAGGATGAATATGGAGAAGAATAAACGATAGAAAAGTCCTTTGAAATACTTCACAGTGTTAATGCCATGAGATTGAATAACATACAAAATAAGCTGAAATTCTATGATATCTAGTAATGATAGATTATTTACAGAAAAAGAATTTAATGTAATAAGCTTAAAGCTCCTGTTTATATTGTAAAAACTACACTACTGCATAATACCATAAAATGCATAGGTAGCCAAAGTAATAACAGTGAAGATTCTGAAGACATATAAAAAAAGTTCCTATTTTACTACATGTATTAATCAAAACTTCGCCAAGATTCAAAGGAACGAGCCACATAGTTTTTACGCTTCCTGTAGCTACATATTTAATATAAAGGATCGCTCATAAAACAGTTGAAAATACAGTTTCAATAATGATAAAAGTAAACTTACATTCAATGCATAGATTGGTAATGTCTTTTTATGCACATGAGAGCCAAATAGTAAACAAAAAATTTTATGGGGCACAAAGACAGCTTTGATAAAGGAAGAAGGAGAAGTGTCAGAAAATTACCTTCATCAACATCAACAGCGACTGCTATTTTCTCACGCTTCCATTGTTGAGGATATCTAAGAGGCTTCCCAAATCCATTCACATATTGTGTCCCAACCTCATTCCCTAAAACTCTTGAATCACGAAATCTCCGCCGCAATGGAGCCATGGCATGAGCCCTAGACCTCTCATCATCTTGACTTCTAAAGGGAACATCACTTTGACCCAAGGAACCTTTCAATCTCAAACCATTAAAGGAATTGAGAGCGGACCCCCGACTCCATTCAGCCGAACCTGTCCCCTTGATTCTGCTAGAATCATCAAGCTCCCTCAATCCGCACCGATAAAAGGCGCCGCAGGAGAACTGAAGCTTACTTAAGGCCATCAAACATCGAGAATTGGAGATAAATCCCAAGGCTTTCCTCTTTAACATAACGACATGCACAGTTCAGCAAAAATCAAATTCTAAATGACTTAACAAAACCATTTTCTAAACAAAAAAACTTGCCGACCACTTTAATTCAGAAGCAGATAACGTCTACGATTTTACTTCTAGCCAATAGAATCCTTCTTCTTGATTCAGATCAGAGGACCGAAAGAAACAATATCAATAGCCACAAAAGCTTGCTTAGAGACACTTCCAAGTAATTCTATGAACATCCATAGAAAAATCATCGAGGAGATGAGATCCGCGAGGGCTTACCAACGAGTAACCGATCTCAAACACATTGCAGGCGGCAACGATGATCTGTTTCAGGCGACAACAGCAGGAAAGAATAAACGGAAAATAATGCGGTGAAAAAGATTCCGGCAAATTCCAATTTGAGCGGAAAGATTCGTGCAATCATTAATATAAAGCGGTTCTTCATGAAATTTATTCCATAAAATTTCGCCTTATCGCACGTTTTACGGTTTTAGGGCTTTTCAAACGGTTCGGTGTTTCCTTTTTATGCGGCATCCGCTTCGCTATTTCAGTATTTCTATTAATTTAAATTCTCTAAAATTTCTAAAATTTCAATTTTTTTTATTTTATTGTTAAAAACTTAAAATTTCAAAACTTATTTTTTAAAACATAATACTTGATGCGGACTAGAATATACGCGGTAGTAGAGTAAAAATTATAATGTCTTAGCAATATACGTATATCCAGCACACCAACAGATAATTAAGGGAGAAGCACCAGAAACTTTTTTACGTGGGAAACCCGAAAAGGGAAAAACCACGGGGCCTGGCCCAGATGAGAAATTTCCACTATATCTTGATTGGTTACAACGTTTGATTCATCCCTTTACTTGAAGATTTCAAAATTACAACAAGTTAATAACAGACAAAATCTGGCGATGATTGATAAACCGACCAAAATAAGGTAGTAGTTGGGATAAGCTTTAGCGACGGTTAGAAGAGAACTCAAGTGGGGGGTATTAAGGTACTCTGGATGATTGATCCGGTTCAAAGGCTAGTTTGCATTAGGCTGAAGTGCCCGACCCGATACGAGTTGGCAGCTAAATGCTGCGGGTTTGCAGTTAAAAACTGCGTCGACAGGCTAAATGCCTGAGTTAAGCCTGTCTAGTAGGGAGAGAAAGAGGAGAAGGAAGGGAGGAATTTGGGAGCTCTCTTGCCGCCGACAATCGCCGGATTTCCACGGGTGTTCCTGCCGACCACCGCCAGTATTCCTCTCAACCATCGCCGGATTTCCCGCCGACCACCGCCAGAATTCTTCTCGACCACCGACGGACTTCAGCTAGTCAATCGACCACCGCCGAACTTCCGCCAGTTCGCCGGCCACCGCCGGACTTCCGCCAGTTCGCCAGGCCACCGCCGGACTTCCTCCAGTTCGCCAGGCCACCGCCGGATTTCCGCTAGTCTGCCAACCATCTTCGGACTTATGCTCGTCCGTCGATCACCGCCTGAGTTCTTCACAACCATCGACGGACTTCCACCAGTTCGCCGACCGCCGCCAGACTTCTACCCATTCTCCAACCACCGACGGACTTCTACCAGTTCGTCGACCGCCGCTGGACTTCCACCAGTTCTCCGACCGTAGCTGGACTTCTACCAGTTCGTCGACCGCCGACGGACTTTTGACAGTCTGTCTACCGACGTCGGACTTCCACCAATTCGCCAATCACTGACAGACTTCTGCCAGTCCGTCGACCGCCGCCAGACTTCCACCAGTTCGCCGATCGTCGCCGGACTTCCACCCGTCCTCCGATCGCCGCCAGACTTCTACCAGTTCATCGACCGCCGTCGGACATCCGCTTGCTCGCCGACCATCGTTAGACTTTTATAGTTTGTCATCCGCCATCGGAATTCCATCAGTCTATCGAACACCGCAGGACTTCCACGAGTCCGCCAACTACAGTCCTCCCAACCACTGTCATCCAACTACCGTCCTTCTGATCTCTGTCGTTTGCAGACTATGATCCTTCGGACCTCCGTCGTCTGTTGACTACATTCTTCGCCGACTATGGTCCTCCCGACCTTCGTCGCCCGCCGACTACGGTCCTCCCGACCTTCGTCGCACGCCGACTACGGTCCTCCCGACCTTCGTCGCCCGCCGACTACGATCCTTCTTACCTTTGTCGTCTGAGGACAACAGTCCTTCTGACCTCCGTCACCCGGTGACTACGATCCTTCAGACCTCCGTCGCAATACAACGGTCCTTCTGACCTATGTCGCTCACAGACTACGATCCTTCCGACCTCCGTCACCCGCCGAATATGGTTCTTCCGATCTACATCGCTCGTCGACTATGGTTTGCTGCCCCAAACAAACATATCAACATTGATTCTTCCAACTTCCACCATGCAATGCATTTTATATGATGTATATTTGTTACTTCCATTCCTTATCTAAACTTGAACTTTATTTGAATATACTTTCTTAGGAACTAAAATATTTAGAGTATGTTTAATTGTGTTTTAATTTTCTCTTATATTTATATTTATTTATTTATTTTTCATTTAAATTACAAACATATTTTAATATATATTTATTTTTATCTACATCATTACATGCTTTTTTAATTTAAAATATAAACATATTTGGATGTGTATTTATTTCTATTTTTATAATGACGATTTTGAAAACAAATGAAATTTCTCATCATCTGTTTTTTAAATTTTTAGATATAAACTAATTTATATGTAAAATAAAATTAAAAATATGAAAAATTCATCATGAATAAATTTTAATATATGTAGTTGTTTTTGAAAAAAAAAAACTAAATATTATTAGATATATAAAGAAACATGTTTTTATTGCAAAATTGGGTTAAGACATAACTCTAATGTTACACAATAATATGATGGATTTAACTAAAATGTGAGCATTTCAAAACCCTATTGCACATATTTAATAGCATTTTAAAATAGAAAAAAAAATTCAAAATTGAGTCCCTAATTTGATCAAGTGTGGGGCCATCCAAACTTTGGTGTTATAAGATTCAATATTTTGAGAAATTATTCTGCGCGGTCAAGAAACGGTGTCCAAAGGCGAATGAAAATGTGCCCCATCATTTTTTTGTTGTGTATTGATGTTGTGCAACACTCCATATCGAATAACGTGATATATTTTTACTCACTTCTGAACTGTTTGGTAACTGCACAGAATAATTTCTTCAATATTTTTGATCTAGCTTTGTTAGCATTGTCTTGCTTAACAAAATATCTTCTAATAAATGAACATAAAGCATCCCTTCCAATTTATATGCAATAATTAATTATGAACAAATTATTTGAAGACCTATCCTTTGAATTATAGCATCTTTCATCTTCAAATGGGAATGCCAATGATCAACTCAAAATTTATAAATGCTCACTCTAAAACTTCTTTTTTTCGTGGAACTTTTGGACTTTATTGACTTTATTATCCTTGATACGGCATCACAAAATTAGCTTGATCGGGCACGAATCTCGAGATAAAAGCTATTTGGAAACTTCAAAATTTAATTTTGGGAGCACCCAAACTCCGATTGCAGCGAGTTTATAGTCAAACTGAGCGTCTCGGAAATACGAACCCAACGACACCAAATTCAACTCAATCCGAGACCAAATGTGTCTGAATCAAGGACCCGAAGTGTTGTTGGAAGGTTCAAACCGTAATTTGAGTTACCAAACGGTCACCGATTTTAACGAGCTTATACTCGAATCGATCGGCTCGACGAGACGAATCAACGAGCCCAAGATCACCGAATTCAGACATCATTAAGGCCTCCAAATGTCCAACAAACGGTGCACGATCGAAGGGTTCAATATCGGCCGTCCATTCAAACCACTCCCTATTCGCCCATGATCTCACACCTATTTACGAGCTATGCCACTCAAGAAAAACTATAAATAGAGCCCTCATTCTACACAAAGGGGACTCAAGTGAAGAGAGAGAAGAAGAAGAGAATAAGGAGGAGAAGGAAGAAGCTCCTCCTCGACCACCGTCGGAGCTCTTCCCGCCGCCTAAAGACGCCGGAACTTTGCCGGATTTTCGGGAAACACCGGGAATTTGCAGAACTTTGTAAACTTGTTTGAAGAAACGAATATTAATCTGATTGCCCCAACTAGTGGGACGAATCAGCCATTTGTAATTTGCAAAATACTAGCGAAATTTTTCAACTGGGCGAGACCCCATTGTTTTTTCCCTTTTTAGGTTTTCCACGTAAAAACCTTGGTGTTCGTATTCTCTTTTCTATTTGTGTGCTGAATACTCGTACAACGTTCGGACGCGAATTTACAAACTCTACCGCTGCGTATATTCTAGCACGCAACAATCCTATACTTCTGAACGGAACAAAGCACAGCACCTGCAATGGGCTAAAACACTCTAAATCTTTTTTATTTTTTTGGGACATTTAGGCCTATTTAAGGCAAACTCACACACACAACGCATACACAAAGACTCGAACCCAAGACCTCTTAGTTGGAAGCATAAGCTCTCAACCAACAAGCCAAGATGAGCTGTGTACTCTAAATCTTATCTCTTGCTCTTCTATTATTCTTTCTTTTTTTTACTTTTTTTTTTTCTTTCTGTTGAGTTTCAATATTGACCTCTTTGAAAAGTGATATTGATCCTAATTTAGTTTTTAATCTTTTAAAATATATGTGTGGAGTATAACTTTGCCTTCTTAGGGGTTTGGGGGTGAAGCATCGGAAATTTTTTTTGTTCGTGCATTCATACATCGTTGCGGTGCTGTATACTTGAGCATTGTGGCACTATAGTCTCTAGTTGGACTCAAAGAGCAGAGTACTGTGGAGTTGTACGCAACAACGGCACAGTATTGCAGAGTAGACTCATAATTAGATAGTAGAGGGCCACGGCGCTCCATACCTCAGCATCGTGGCGCTGCTAGCTGGGTTGAGCATTTTTCTTTCCTCTTCCTCTTACTCTACTTGAAGAGTTGCGTCCTTTGGTGTAATATAAGTACGTCTCTTTGTCTATTCAAAATAGAGAACTGCACTTGCGAGAAGAAAGATCGGTACAAATTCATCCAACTTTCACATAGTTATATTTAATTGTGAACACTTTCATTATAAAAGATGCCAATTATTGGCATCCAAAAACTTTCAACCCAAATCATTGACCTGAGAAACAGTAAGGTGCGAAAAGCTTACGACTTTGACAAATTCAAAAGTTTCCACATCAGAAAGAACGCCAACCACCAAACGGCCGACTGAAAATAGGTAACCAACTTGGAATCAAACACTGGCGATATATTAAACTCCGAAGTCAATACAGTGTAGTCCAGAAACTTAATTAACAAATAGTTTCTTGTAGAAGATAGACAAGTTTAGTTTGGAATCTGCATAACCTGTAGAAAACTTACTTTGCCACTTTGCATAGAAGCCAAGCAGAGAGATTTTGCTTCAGCTTTTTCTAACGCAAGTAGTTCAACAAGGGGGCAGTTTGTGGCAGTTTGGTTGCGTGTGCATGTATGGTTATAATGAAGCCATGTAAACCAACTATATTTTATTTGAAGTGTTTCACTGAATGAAATATGAATTCATTGAGATGATTTATTTTGTTTTTTTAATGCTTTTAGAATATAATATTGAAAGATTAACCAAATTGTGGGACGTTACGAAGTGGTGTAACGATAGTGGCAGGTTGAGGGTAACTAGGGGGTGTAAATATTTGACACGACCCAAAAATTGTTCCAAAAATTTTAGGTTCGGGGTCAAAACCGAACGCAAACTGGGTCGGGTTCGGGTTATCCATTTGTAAAATCAGGTCGGGTTCGGGTTGACTCGAAAACCAGAAATCAATCCAGTTTGACTTGTTTTTGATTCATTTAGGAGGGTTTTAGAAGATTTTAAGGACATAAGTAAATGTTATTTCCAAAAAATAATAAACCATGTTATCCAAATTGAATTAAGCTTGGTTTATTTTAAATTGATTCAAGTAAATCTTACTTTAATTCGATATAGGTTTTAAAAAAATCAAATTAAATAAAAATATTTTATTAAAGCATAAAAGGAGCGGGTCAGGTGTGGGTTGACCCAGACCCGAAGCAGATCAGATTTAGGTCTGAAAAATCGAATCGTTTGCCAAAAACGGGTCAGCGTCGGGTTAAAGAGTGCTGGGTCATATTAGGGTTCAACCCAAACTTGACCCTAAACCCGCTTTTGATAGCCCTAAGGGTGGCACGTCAAGAAGAGAGTAACATGATCAACACAACATGATAACGTAGTTGTACTTGCCCTCTAACATCGGACTCTGGCAAGGGACAACATGTGAGGGATATGAAAAGTAACACACAATTTTGTTGAAGTGAGATATGACATATGATGTAATTGAGATTGAAGATGATGTAAGAATTAGGGTTTCCATACCTAATCTAAATGACTTTTTAAAACCTCTAAATTTTTATATTATTTTTTATAGAAACAAAAAATTAAGTTAAGCATTGCAGAGATGGGATGCTCGTGTTGATGAGTGGCAGTATTCTTTGAAACAATATGCAAAATATGTATATACGTGAAAATGTTAGAGTAGCTCCAATTCTAGATAAGATTAGAGAGTCACCTTAGATGGTTTGGTCACATAAAACTTCTGCCTCCCGATGTGTTGGTCACATAAAATGAAAAAAAAAAAAATTATAAAAGGCTTGAAATTATTGTTACATATTTTCTTTTCTCACAACAATTACTTAAAAAAGGTTAAAAAACATGCTGACCTTTTACTAACCAAAGAGTCCATAAATATTTTATTAGTTTGGATGATAAAGTAATAAGCTGGTAACATCAATTAAACAAAGTTTATACTCATAACAAATTGTCCCCAACACGAGTCATCAATACCAAATTATAGGAAATATAATAAGAGAAATCGTACGTACAAAAATGCTCCATCTGTCACTCTTCCATATAATATTAGAGAAATGTTTTCATTCTATAGATCCTCATCATATCAAGTCGAACAGGCTCCCATTAGCCCCATCACCATTATGAAATACAATTATTAAGGAAAGCCTAACGCCATCCCACCAAACTTGACCTAACTTGAAACAGAACATAGTGCATTGCCTTTATATTAATAGCAGGTTTGGTTCAATTTAGGCTTCTTTGCTGTAAAACTTTCAAATATTTATGACCTATATCGCTAGTCCTTCTATCATGTAGATTTTGACCTTGTGGCCCTCCTCAAGACCTTTGATCATGTCCAAACCCTTGATCGTAATATCTTTAAACAACTTTTCTAGTGCAAAAAATTTAAATTCAAGAAATTTTTAAGCTAAAAACTTGTTTTAGAAAGCAAGAAGAAAACCGCCCCAAACAAAACCTTAATCTTTTTTTTTTATATCAATTCAAGTTCAGTAGCAGTAGCAACTTAATCAGACTGGAACAATTTTACATGAAAATTATTGCTCTTTTAGCTGGAAAAATGATCACAGCCTTAAATACAAACACAGAAGATGAATAAATTTCATAAATTAAATGCACAAACAACGATTATCAATCACATTTTGATAGAAAGGAGAAAGACTTGTGCTTCTCCATTCCTTGAAAAATAAAAAAAGAAATCTCTTTATACATCTTGTTTTACAGAAACAGAGCACAGAAAATGAATCGGTTCTGGTGATCGGCTAGAAGCCAATTCATCACAGAAGAAACTGAGTTAAGAACTGCAAGGAGTTTTTGGAACATTTGAACTTCCTTCTCCATTTGAAATTCCAAATCCTAGCTCAATATCACCTCCCATGGGACTACTGCAAGATGAATCACTTGTTCTCTTTCCCCTGCTCCAAAGCCGTCTTAAAGATTTCAACTTTGAAGTTCCAGGTGATCTTGACTCCTCCGATGGCGATTTGATGTTCTCCAATGGAAACCTGCTTGACGGCAATGGAGATATCGGAGAAGGAAAACCCCCGGCAGTTCGATTCGGAAGTGTGATCACTAGATTTCTCGCAGAATTAGCCGAGGACCGTGAATTCACTTGATCCTGATTCCCCCAGAACAGGACATTAGTGGGGAAAACCGGAGATTCTGGTTGGGGCTCAGAGTCTCCGGCGCCTGCGGAAATCGGCTGAGGTACTTCGCCATCGCCAGCGGTGGCAGCAGTGTCTGAACCCACTGCGCAGCGGCAAAGAGGACAGGTCGAGTGAGAGTAGAACCACATATCGATGCATTGAAGGTGGAAGCCATGATTGCATTTAGGGAGTAATCGAGCCTTCTCTCCGTCGGAGAGCTCGCAGAGACACACGGAGCATTCGAGCCCGTCCTTGAAATCACTCCGGTTATAGATAGTGACCGGAAGAGAACGGAGGACGGAGGCGTCGAGGCCGCGGCTTGGGACAGGAGCGTCACCAGCGGCGAAGATGAGCTGGGCTCGTCTACGGGCTCTGATGCTCGAGCCCCAATAGTTCTTGGCGTAGAGGTAAAGGAAGAAGACGAAGACGATGACCAGGAAGAGAAAGATCACCGCGGCCACCATGACCTCGATGCTAATGTTATTAATCATCCCAGAGTCATCGGATTCGAGGCCGCTGCCAGAGGTCGAATCTGAGCCCCCCATCGCCTATTCCCTTCGTTTCTGAGATCTGGACAGCACAAACAAAAATAAAAATCGGATTTTGGGGTCTTCGAAAGGATAAGAAACTAAGAAAGAGAGAAACTTTGAGAGAATGGAATGAAATCGCAGGTGATTTATAAAATTGGGAAAGACAAAGCAAGAAGCAAAGACCTAAAAGCTAGGTTTGGATAGGCTGAGGAGAAAGAGAAGGGAGGGGGCAGGCGCGAGGAAGTTGAGCTAACTGAGAGGGACAGCAAGAGTAAAGAGATCTATCTAGCGTTGTAAAAGGCCGCCATGAGGGAGGCGTAGAAGAAGACTAAAAAGATGAGAAATTCAACTGCGAATATCCAAGTAAGGCTGCTTTGACCATCAATGGCTGCCACGTTTCACAGTATTGAGCCGCCTTTTTCCACCTCTGTGTGATGAAATTTGGAATTAAGCTTGAGTTTTCCCAACAAAAAATAAGTCTGCTTGAGTGGATTATTTGGACACGTCATTAGATAATATTTTAGTTTTAATTTTAATGGTTCACTATTGGATGAAGAAAGTAGCTATCTTATAACAATTTTTTTTTTTAAAACGTGGTATCTACTCACTAACATTTCATAAGAGGTGCTTAGTAACGTAACTAATTCATCGACAAGTCTATCAGTAATCAGCCCCACAAGTATATGACCCCCAGTTATTTTCTCCCAGCTTAAGAGCCGCGCCTCATGAGAGTTGAATTTATGACAAGTTATAGTTAAAAGGAATGACATCGACAGTTATTCAGGAACATTATTTATCAACATAGTTGTCCGAAGAAATATTTTATACGATCAGATGAATTTCAAGAAAGTATTTAAATATGAAATCTCTAAAGTTAAATTTAGAATAATTTGAAATTCAATTTCAATAAATTTATAGTCAAATTGAACATCTTCACAAGATGAATTTAACAATAGTACAACATCAAAAGTGGTTCAATTTGACTCAAAATAAGTTTGAATCAACTACTTAAAACTATAATAAAAAACTTAAGATATTAGTGAAATGACCAAATGATCCTCAAATTTGACATACTTATAGTTGAATGAGCAGCTCAACGGGACGAATCCGACGAGCTTAAGGTCACACAACTTTGACATCATTAATACATCAATATGCACATAAATGTTGAACAAGCGCTTTATGATTAATATAATCAATATGAACCGTACAATAGAGTGTTTTGGATTACAATTTAAATTACCAAAATGTTTATCCCCAAAAGCATATGAATAGAACATTATTCTTCACATGAAATAGGAGAAAGAGTGAAGAGAACTAGAGAGCTCACTTGCATTTTCTAACTATCTCTGCCGAAAACTAACACCATCATCTCTAGACCTCTAACAAAATTTAATCTTATTATTGGGTATTAGTTGTTTGCCTGTGGACATCAGGCTTTTGTAATCCTTACAGGGAAATTCAAACGTTTGTATTCAAATAATTCTTCCTTTTTTCAATTTTGAAGTAGTGATGATTCTTGTATCTTCTATTACATAGTAAAATTTTCAATTAGGCCTGTTCCATTGTTTTTTTCCATTTTTCACATTAAAATTTTTGGTCTTTCCACTTTTTCTATGTGTGTTGGATTTTTGTCAAAAACTAAAATATACAATATATACTTTACTGACGTAAATTTTCTAACACGTAACAATTATTATTTGATGCATTCATAAAAAATTTACATGAATGACACAAATCTCAAAATTACATGTAAATTGAAATTTTTTCCAAATTAATGTAAGGAACTTTTTATAGTCAAATTGAATGTATCAATGAATGAATGACGAATCCATAATTTTTATCTTTTTTGAGTTTTTCACATAAAAAAATTATTATCTTACAACTTTTATTTGTGTATACTTAATTTTTATTTAAAAGTAAGATATAAAACACACAGTCTACTACCGCAAAGTTTCTAATGCATAAAATTTTTTATTGACTTGAAACATATAGTTTCTTTAGAAGAGAAATCAAAGCATCAAAATAAGATTCATCAAAATTACTTAAATATGGAACAAATTCATCCAAACAAACACAACCAGCTTTTCTTTAGAGGAAAATTGGATCTCCACTGTGGGGAGTAAAGACCTACTGATTGTGGTATTAATTTTTTCAATGGAGACAATCAACTTATTTTAAGAGAAGACTATAACTCCATTAATTGTAGAATTAAGAACCTCTCTAAGCTTGGAATTAACTCGTTTAAATGGAGACAGTCAGTTCATTCTTAGAAATTAAACTAAACACAGTCACTTTTTTAAGGAGATGATTGGAGCTTCATTATAGGACGTTTAAGTGTTTGTATGTGATTTATCTCATCCATTGATGATATTTACACTTGACATAAGCTCTACTTGACTACCATTGTCTAATCACAGTTGCAAAACTACCTTCACCTATCTTCAGTTGCCTATTCTTCATCACCAAAATTAGATGCATGTTATGACCACTATCATCCAATTTTTGTTGCATGAATATCATCGCTTAGCTTCCATCAATTGGTTGATGTTATCTAATGCCTTAAGTAGTCTATCATTGTTTGTCCATCATCTCTCAACTGTCATAGTCCAACCTTAATTCCTCGACCACCTTCTCTTGATTACTGTTATCACTCTCCACTACTTCTCTAACAATTATTATTATTATTATTATTATTATAAGCAAGTTTTTTCCAATATAGCTGTTAGGATCATTTGTGGAATCTGATTGTGTCGATTAATTAGGTTATATTATTGACTCAGAGCTCAATTCCGTCAGTCGAGCTAGTCGGGGGTTGCAGGGGGCCTTGTTGCGATGCTCTAAGTTGGGATGGAGACAGAGAGTGGAGAATCGAGGCGCTCCAAACACCGGTGTCGTGCCACTACAAGTTGGGCTGAATAGTTTTCTTTCTCATTTCCATGTTAAATCAAAGGGTTAGCGTCGTCATGCAGTAGAATTGTATCTCTTTATTAGTTCTAAGATATAATGGTGTGAAGAAGTGAAGTGACTAAAAGATGGTAAGAGAAATTAAGATTTATGCAATTTCTCTCAATTTTCATAGTGAATTTTTTGATGTGGTGTGGTTCTATAGTTTTTCCCTGATTTTTAGTTTTTCATGTTAAATACTAGAGTTTATTTTCATTATTTTTATTTTATTTTATTGTTTGTTTGATTATGTGATTTACTTCCCAACAATAGTAAATGAGAGAGTTATGATGATTTATGGAAGAAAGTTTTATAAATTTATGAAAAAAAGTTACATAAATTTATAGAAAAAAGTTGCATAAATTTATGGAAGAAAGTTACATGAATTCATGGAGGTAGAGGTGTTAATATTGGATACGACATAAAAACCCGACTCGAACTTAACACATAAATTTTGGGTTCGGGTTGCCCGAACCGGGTTGGGTTTGGGTTAGAGATTTTGACCCGTTTACAAAAATATGTTAGGTTTGAGTTAACTCAGAAACTTAAAATCAACCCGGTTTGACAAGGACAATCTATTTCCTGCTCTTTTCCATCCCGTCGCATCCATCCAGCCGTCGGGTCAAGCAGTCGCATCCGCGTCAGCTGTCGTGTCCATCTATATAGCCGTCCTCTCAGGCAGTCTCGCGTCCCGCTCAGGCGCTCATAGGGCATAGCCATAGCCCGTATAGCAGTATAGGATAGTGAGGTCATCGGGTCAAGCAGTCGGGTTCAGACCGTCCAGTGTCTCGGCGTCTCACTCCTAATCTCCCATGCAATGCGAGTCTGCGACACCGGTCCGCTCATAAGGTCGTCAATCGTCCTTCATCGTTGCCTTAGCCATTTGTCGACAGGCAAACGTCTGCGTCCAGTCGGGTCCAAACCGCCATCGCTAACTTCGCACGCTCTTCTGCCAAATCCCATAAAATCCAAGTCGGGTCGGGTTGACATGAACCCGAAGTGGGTTGGGTTTGGGTCCCAAAAATCGACCCTTTTGCAATAAATGGGTTGGGTTGACCCGAGCCCAAATAGTGTCAGGTCAGTTCCGGTTTCGACCGAGCCCGACCTATGACCCAAAATTGACACCCCTTACATGGAGTGAGTTACATGATTTCAAATAAAATAAAAATATAAAAATACATGATTTAAAATATATTTTCAGACATAATAAGCTTTGACGTCAAAAAATAGGGGGGCAAATGATACGTCACCAAAAATCACATTGATCTAGCACGAATCTCGAGGAATTTTTGAATTGAAAACTATCAAAATTTAATTTGCAACAACTCAAAGACCAATCTCAACAAACCTATAATCAAACTAAACATTTCGACAAGACAAAACAGATGACACCAAAATACGTCCAATCCGAGTTCAAATGGGATCAGATCAAAGGATTAAAGTTTATTTGAAAGCTTAAAAGCATTAATGGGATGACAAATTAATTTCCAAATATGAAATTCATATAGTTGAATGTAGCGGCTCAACGAGGCAAATCCAATGAGCCCGAGATCGCTCAATTCTGACATCACACTTAAATGCTTAATGAAATCTGTATGATCAAAGAAATCAATAGAGACTATTGGATAGAGCATTCCTAATTTATCCTAGATTTTATTCATATTTGAGGAGTATGCCACTCCCAAAAACCTATAAATAAGCCCTCATTTGCCACATGAAAGGGGGAGAGAAAGAGGAAAAAATGAGAGTTCTCTGGCATTTTCTAACTATCGCCGCTGCCGACGACCACTAGTTATTGATGCCAATGACCACCAGCTATTGTCGTTGATAACCATCAGTTACTATCACCGTCGACAACCATCATCGTCTCCATAATATTATCAAGAATTGACTCTGTTGTTGGGTACATTTTGTAATAACTCAAATATGTAGAATAAATTTATTTGAAAAATATGAAAATTTTGAAGTTGAGCGCTTTGTCGCTCATGGTCTGGTGAACGCTTTGACTCTACTCTATGAACAATATATATATCATTGCCTCACCCTATCGACTCCCTCATTTTATTGCTTGACCAGGAAGAAATTGAAATAAGGGAAGAAGAGAGAGGAGAGAGCAAGATTTTTGGATCATATTTATGCCGCATTTTACATATTTGATTCTATTTGTTATAATTAACTAATATCTTATTTTTGTTTTTAATGATTTTGATTTCTACGAATTTTATCTCTCATAAATCTGTCAAAAATATATAATCTCCTGATTTCATAAGCTTTCATTGTGTAAATTTAGATATGTTATAGTTTTGATCATTCTGAATGATTTGATATGATTTTATTTTATTTCAGATGAAATATTGAATGATATCAGATAAATGAAAGAATAACTCCAAGTGATATTCTTCTGATCAACGTGATTCACTAATTGGAAGTCATAAGGAGCTGAGAATTGATTGAGAGTTATAAAAAGTCA